CACACGCGGAGCATAAATTCGCACAGATCGCACAGAGAGCGGAACCCTGGAGCTCGGGTTTTTGCTGGCAGCCCAAGAAAGAGATTAAGCTGCAACTGCCACGCCTCGAATATGTGCTCCTGACTACAGGCCGTGCAGAGTGTTTTCTTAGCTACCTCAAATCCTTTAAGCAGTAAATCCATCACACTGTTTGGTAGTTTTTCATTTACCTCAAATAAAGTTCATGAGAGTTTGAAGAGCGCAGTGCTGCCTTATCTTATATTTTCCGGCAATCTTCACAACAATATCAAAGAAAAAAGTAATGCTATCTAGCTAAAGATATTTAACTCGTCAAATATTTTCGACATATTTTTCTGCGCAAGACATTACTCTAAGCCTGAAAAGAAGGGTCGAATTGCTAAAGGTCTGAACAGCAACCCCTTTTTGGCGTCAAGTCTTGCTGACCTGGTTCTCGTTCGGTTAGTGACCGAAAACCCACATAGATCATACCAAAAGGTCTTCATTATAACCGTCTTTTGGTTTATCCTTCTCCCTATGTAATTTATTGGCAAAGCTTAGTTAGCACGCAACAAAAAATATGGTCTAAAGACCTTCTGCAAAGTTTCTTCAAAGAAATCGAGATCAACTGGAGCGATGTATCGGTCGAGCGGGAAAACCGTATGTCGGTTGACAGAAGAACCGATCGAGAAATAGTATTGAATCCGTAGTATGGGTTTTTATCTGAAATCAAGCCCATTAAAATGTAATAGACATTAAATATTATATACTACATTAAACTTTCAATTGAAAAATTATACATTTTTATTTAAATTGAACGCGCAAAGCTTTGGGTTTAATATGACTAAAAATCAAGTACACTTGATAAACTTTTATTCACTAGCTTACTAAAATAAAAATGACCAAATTAAAATTTTCATGTAGTAAGAAAAAATGAGATTAATTAAGAGACAGCCACTTTATTATGGTATTTTTCTTCGGGCTCTACAGAGGCTGGAGATAGAGGAAGTAGTTTCGTTGTTATTATGAGCAGGACTTTCGATTAAAAGTGCGAAACTACTGCTCATTTTGTGCTTGTCTGCCCCGAGAAAAGGGTATCTCGATGTATAACCTGCACTTTCCGAACCATTTTTCCGCTCTCCCATGTCACACAAAGTACTCTGGAGCCGTAATCTTGGTGCCTGTTTTATGCAAATTGTCGCCAGGCCGTATTTCATAACTGCATGAAATTAATTTCGCCCGAAAACCTTGCCGCATGCAGAGCTGGGTGCGAGTGTTTATGCGTTTTGATTGATTGCTCCCACTTTGCGGTGAAAGCGCTGCGCAAAGTTTCGGCTCCGTTCCCGGCCAGAGCTAGACTGAGCGTGAGAAATGCATTTGAATTTACAATGTGTCAGCCCGAGCACCATTAATATGCCTTTGCCCGGACAAGCCTGCCGGAGGATGGTGCGAGTGTGGGGGCGTGGCAGGGCCGGCAAGGCAAGGCAAGGCAAGGCAAGGCAGGAGGAGAGGCCAAGAAAGAAAGGCCCGGTTGTGTGCCCTCCGATATTTATGATGTTAGGGTCGCAACTTCGGTAATGCATAAATATTTCCACATGCCGACACCTCTCGGCCAGATAATAATGACTTGAATTTACGATAAACGCTCTCCGGCCGGATTTCTTTCTTTTCCGTCTTTATTTCGGCTGGGGTCTGTTTCGCCAAGCTGAATGTTTTCAAGGACAGCTCGCAGGCCGCATAATGCGAACCGGTGGCCATTAAAAAGGGTCGCAGGATCAGGGCCGGAACAAAGGTTGTCCGGCCGCAAGCGCTCGCCTTCGCTTTCGATTAAGCGGCGGAAGTCCGCGGCGCTGCCAGTTGTCCGTGGCCCTGGAACCGCTCTTCGGCCATTGCCGTTGCCGTTGCGTGGTGGACATCATTGCCGCCATTAAGCCCTAATGACCGTAATAAATAATAATTTATTTTACCTGCAGGCCATACGGAACCCCGTGCCGCACTAGCCATGCGCCCGGCCCGGCATGCATGCGGATTTGAATTTGACGGGTGCTTTTGTGGGCGATGGCAATGGGCACGGGCATGGGTTCTCCACCCTGGAGTGGCACTAAAAACAAAAGGTTATTGTTGCATACGCAATATTAATTGTTTTCTTGGCCGGCGGACTCTCCTGGCAGGGATTTAAGTGGCATTTTATGGCCACACCAAAGGAGCAGCCAGGATTGGCAGGCCTCGGGCCCCGTTAGATAACTTGGGCGGCTTCCAGCTGGCTGAACGGTAATTACAAACACACCAAACTTTCTGGCCGCCTAATGCATGCTTATTAAAATTTTGTGTCATTACAATGGACGGAGAATTCGCTAGACGTGGTGGGTGCGGCCATTGCGTGCAGGTGCCGGCGCCTAATTGTCCGCCCGATTGAACCCGCCCCGGCCGGATTGACCTGCCATTTGGCAAATTAAATTTGATGGCTCCTTGGCGGGGGTCCAATCATTTAATCGGCCGAACTACTTGGTCTGTCCCGCTGCGGGATCCTTAAGAGCGGGATGGTCCCGAGGCCACAAGGAATTCATGCTGCGTCCAAACGCATTTCCGAGAGCGGTGCACCGTTCCCAAAGCCAGAGCCAGAGGAGGCGTCACCAAGCGGGCTGCTTGGCTGACTGGGTATAAAATCAATAGGCGACAACGTCCTCGACAACGGCAGCATATGCTGCAGCTGCGGCGCAATAAACATGGGCGTGAAGACCACAAAATTTTATGCAAACTCATAAAATGATTTTTACAGCTAGACAACACGAACAAAAAATAAGGCCCATTGTGGCGGGGCTGCTGCCACATAGCAGGCATAGACGGCCAGAGGCGTCCGTAGATGGCCACATAAAACTGCCAGCAAAAAGTGCAGTAAAACATGGTGCCCAAACGTGTTTGGTTTTGGCTTTGGTTTTGGGTATTGTGGGGCTCGGGGCGCTAAAGCCGCTGCCAGCGTCAATATTTTCCCTAAGGCGATTTTGTCGATTTCGCCGAGCTCGCCAACAACCGCAAAATAACCAACGTATTTTTTATACACATTGTTTGCTTGTGCTCGCATTCCGCAAGCCGAACGGAGGGGATCGAATCGGCACAAAATATGGGGGCAAAATCGGTGGCAACCAATATAAACTGGCTTCCATATGCAGGCAAAGGCTAAAGTCGGGGCCCGAGCGCCTACCAGCCTGCCTCGAATAATAGAAAATAGAAATCGAAGCGGGCCACGCCCAGGCGTCGTGCATGTGTGCTTGGCCGGCTTTCGGGCTGACCTCGGAGGATTTGCGGCATCAGTTGGACAGTCATGACTATTGAACTAATATCCAGGACGGTGAGGGAGGATTTGGGCCAGGATTTGGCAGGCCGGCCTCAACTGCTCCCCAGGCGACACAAATTTGAGCATTTTATGACAGGCATTATGCCAAGAGCCCTCCTCTATGCGTTTCAGCGGAAAAGGGCCCTGCCAAAGATATTTGACATTTGCGTTTGCTTTTGCTCTGCCTCTGCCTGTCCCTGTGCCTGTGCCTGCACGCATCTCAGCTGCATTGGCCCGAATGCAGGCTAATTGGCTATGTACAAAGGATAACTGGCAAACGGTTTGCAAACGCTGCGGGCGGGGGACAAACAGAACGAGAACAGGAGCAGGAACAGGTCGGCCATCAAAGCCATATGGGGGAGCCATCAAATACAACTGTCGCACACGTGAGCTACCTCTCTGGTTCACACTTATGGTACACGCCCACTCCCGAACACACTTCTCCCTCCCTGATCCGGAGCTGGCATTAAATTGTGTGGCTCAAGTGTTTATGCAGAACTTCAAAGCGGAGCGAAAACAATGCGAAAGAAGTGGAAAATATTTACATATTATTGATTGGCTGACAAGTCGCCTGGCTCCTTCCTGAGTGTGTGTGTGGCGCGTGCGAAACCGTTCGAGTCAACCGAATTGCTCGAGCAATAACCAAAGGGGCGAAAGTATTGCGTATACGACTTGTGCGACGCAATTCCCCTGGTGGCCATAAGCTCGGAATAGGAAAAGCGGAGGCCAGCAGGGCCACATGTGTGTGGGGCAGGGCGAAATTAAGCAAATCCCAGCTAAGCAATTCGCACAAACATGCTGTAAGGAAGTTCGACGGCTGGGGTAAGCCTCAGTCACGTCCAAGGTCCTCTTTAACAGAAAAATTTGTAAAGATGTGGGACAAAGTGTTTTGACGGACGGCAAACTGACATGAGATGGTAATGGTCAGTTACCGGGATACGCAGCCAGAAAAATGGCTGATTCGGTCTCTGCAATAGAGCGAAATATTCGTCGGAGCGCGTTTTGGGTCGGGCCCATAGCAATCGCTAGAAGGAGACCGAAAGAGGGGTCGATTTTGGGGACCACCGTTTCCTAGGGCAGGGTTTATGGCCTAAGATCTAGGCATTTTGGGCAAATATTCTACGTAATTCATGGCCAGCGTGACCGGGGGTCGTTCCCTCGCGAGCTGGACTCGATCTGAGCCGAAGATTTTATTTACGAGAGCTTTTCTTGAATTTATTTAAATTTTCCTCATGTTAAATTTCTCTGCATGTTATTTTCCAGTGTGGGCAGCGTACGGCCTCTCGAAAGTGGCGGTCAGTGATTAGATTTTCCGCGAGAGCAAAAATATATTTAAATAGAATTTTCTTAAAAATTTTATTATTAAAGTTTGGAGTAAAATTTCTCCCAGTGTAGGCGAAACTCAGCCATCCCCCGCAAGCGCCAAAAATATCAATCTGTACGAGTTTAGGTTTAATCAAGGTGTATTTTGGTTTTCAGAATTTTCTTTTCACTTTTGTTTGTCTTTTTATTTAATTAAGGTTGGCAGGGATTTTTAACAAAAAAATAAGGTTAGATGTCGGGGCAATATTTCTAGCCTACTCTAGCGAAAACCGCATCTCGGCCATCGAGAAATTTCTATTCACACGTGTACCCGCTGGCCAAAATGCGATCCTCCCTATACACTCACCCGTCTCCGTTTTCCGCACACACACACGTGCCTGTGGCTGCTGCTTCCGCCACGTCCTCGCCTCCGTCCGCTTCCAAAAAGGTGCCTCCAAATTCTCCGCACTCCACGGGCTGCCGTCACTATCCCTGGTCACTTCGAGCGCCACCTCCTGGCTGGTCTCGGGTTATAACATTGTCCTCGTTGGCCGCAGAAACTCCGTCGCGTAGAAACTCCCGTTGTGGTTACGTTGAAACTCCGTCGACCGCTCGCACGTCTATACGTTTTCGTCGCCTCCGCAAAAAGTAAATCCAGACACGCGGCTTTGCCAAATTTTCGGCCGCGCTGGTAATTTTCCATTGCTCTTGCATTTCGGTGCATCAGCTTCCCTCTCGCTCTCTCCCGTTGGCGCGTGCCAATTTTCGGGGGTTGCTTTGCGCTCGATCGTATGCTCGCTCTCCGTTGCTCTCGTACGGCGCTAACTCCGTGGCCACTTGTTCGTGGTGAATAACTCTCTCTGCTCTCCGAGTGTAGGTGTGTGTGGGTGTGTGTGTGCGGGATCTAGAGATGTGAGAACGGGGAACCAAAGATAACTACTAATTCTTGACTACGCTTAAATTCTGTACAACTAGAAGATGATTATAGTGCGAAACTTGGCTGCTTAAATATACAGAGCTTATTTTACAAAAACAATAGAGAATGATTATATACAAAGCTTATGTTTACAAAGTGCGAAGTGATTAAAGTATTATACGAAATTATTTTATAATTTGGGCGTTTGCCGGTTTGTTTTTTTGATTTCGCTGCTGGCTGCTGCGGCTCTCCATGAGCGTTGGCGGCAGTGGTTATTGCCGTCGGCTACTGTTGTTGTCGCTGCCGGCTCCTGACCGCCGTTGTTGTTGTTTTTGGGCGCTGCTGACGCTGTTGTTGTTCGCTGCTGACGCTGTTGATATTCGCTGCTGGCGCTGTTGATATTCTTCGGCTGACGTTGCCTCTGCTGTTGTTGTTGGCTGCTGATGCTGTTGTTGCTGTCGGCGGCTGGCGCGGTTGCCGTTGTAGTTGGCCGCCAGTATTTGTGGGAAGTCGAACGACTCCTCACATCCCCCTCTTTCTTCGGGGGCGCGAAAAAATGGAGATCTCGTTCTCCGTGGTGATGTGGACGCGGCGGATGTGTGCCGCGGCCAGTGCTGGCGCCTCCTTCTTGCCCGGGGAAGAATTTCCCGGGATGACTGTAGCCAGATCGTCGTCGTCGTTGCTTGTGGTGGCGGCCGTGGCCAACGCTGGCACCCTCTCTCTCGGGGCTCGCGGTCACGTCTCCAAGGGTCACTCGACGGGGAGCGGATGGTAACAGGCTTGGCACCACCGCTGCTGTCCAGGCGTGTATGGCCTCTTGGCCCAGGCCTGAGACGAGCTTTCTTGCGTCGAGCGGGCTGGCTGGTCCGTGTCAAATCGACGGCTTGCGTATGACGCGCTGTAGGGAAACAAAGTTTCATTAGCCTTTTAGGTTTACTAATATGACTAACTAGTGGTTTTAGTTGGGGGTTAGTTATTAGTGAGGGGGAAATGCTAATGCTGGTACTGGGAGCGTTGAGTTTCCCCCTTAGGGGAGTGGGAACGTTGGGAAGGCGCACCCTCCAGCAAGTGGCCCCCACTGACTCAAGCATTGGCTCCTGTCGCAGTGTTCCTGGTTGGCTCTTGCCTTGGCCAGATCGAGCGTCGCTCGTCGGCTTATCTTTGAGCAAGTTTGTTGCTGTCGTGCAGTCTTCGTACGGACTTCTGAAGCTGCTGCTGCGCTGCTGTTCTCCGTGTGTGCTTCCGCCGTCTGCGGGTATCCTTGAATGCTTCTCCGTTGCTTCCGTCTTGATGCGGGTATCCCTGGGTAATGATGCTCTGCTTCTCTGCTGCCGCGGTTGCTCTGCTATTTCCGCCTTGGTGCGGTATTCGTGCGGCTGTGTCCGCCGTGTGCGGGGCTTCTCGCTGATGTGGCCGCCGTGTGCGGTCTTCTCGATGATGTGTCCGCCGTGTGCGAACTCCTGATGCTGATGCCGCCTTGCGCGGGGTTCTCGCTGCTGTGCCGCCGTGTGCGGGCTCCTGCTGCTATGCCGCCGGGGTGCGGGCTCCTCGATGACGTTCCTCTGATGCTTCCGCCTTGGTGCGGGTATTTCCTGGATTCTGCTCCTGTCACGGTACAGGCTCTCCGCTGCTGATGCTTCTCTGTTACGGGTCTCTCTGCTTCCTGATGCCGCCTTGGTGCGGTCTTCCTGCTCCGTGGTCTCCTTAAGTGCGGCTAGGATTCCTCCAGCGTCAGGTGTACACTCTGCTCTGGCTGGGGAAGTCGCTCGCCCTTCCGCTACTGGTTCTGTTGAAGCAGAAGCTTGATTTCGTCGAAACGGATTGTTTCGCGCTGCATTGTCGTCTCGCGGCCCTAACATACTGCTGGTCTGGGTATCTGGCGTCTCGTGATCTGGCTCGTTGCTGGCTGGTGTGGATTCTACGGCTTCGATGGGGTCTGCTGTTTTCGGAGTGAACGCGTTTGTCAAAACCGACGGCGTAGCTAAGTTATAGGTGGGGCTGGGTACTGAAAGAGAAGAGAGAACCTGTAAAACACGGCAGCACTCGTAAGTGCGTATTCCTCTGCGACCACAATCCCAGCAGAAGAGAACTCTGGGATTGCGACATGTGTATGAACGGTGTCCTTCCTGGGCACAATTCCTGCAAGCTAATCTACAATGCGGCACCATCGATATGTTTCCCACTCGAGGACCTAGTTGTGGAACTGCGGCGAGCGTAGGTGGTCGTCTGACTGGTCGCGTGACATTTTGGTAGCTCGTTGATGGTGCTCCTGCATACGCCGGGGTCGCGTAGTCATCTCTTCCTGGTGGTGGCTGCAGTTCGGCCCGCATCCTTGCTTGGTTTCCTGTGGCTCGATCGCGGGTGTCTTCATAGTTTACCACTAAGACGGTAAGTTGCTCCAAAGTCGTGAACTCGTGTCTCCTTGTAAACAGCTGGTATTCCGGTTGAAGATTTTCGTAGATTCGTTCCAACTCCTGTTCCGCGTTGTATCCTGCTCTGTGCATCATGAGTCGAATGTTTACCAGGTACTGCTTAAATGGCTCTCCTCGTCGTTGGTATCTGTTGCGGATCTCATCGTCGAGTCTCTGAAAATACCTGGGCGGCAGGAAGAAGTCAAGAAACGCCTTCTTGAAGTTCGTCCACGATTTTCCTAGTAGCTGGCTTGTCCGAAACCAGTGCTCCGCTGTGTCCGTCAAAAGACCAGGGATGGCCTGTGGCATCTTCTCCACGTCGACTTCATATGCGGTGGCTCGTTCCTCGAAGTGCTGGATAAAGGTAATGGGGTCCGTGGTCCCATCGAAAGTAATTCCCCAATTCTTCAGTTTCTCTGCGAGCGTGGCTGCTGACATCTCGGATTTCTTGGGAAAAATGTCCCGTCTGACCGGGTTGGTCTCCATGTCTCCGACTGTAGTGGCACCTCTGCCTTCCTGTGTTGACATCTGAAGCTGCGTGGGACCCGGTGGGTGTGGATTCAGACTCGGTGTACGTTGTTTACTCTCAGTTAATGCGGCTGTGATTTCCGCCTCGCATTCCTGCAGTTGTTCGGCTATCTCCAGCACATGATCGTCCCGATTATTAAATGCGGCCAACCGGCTCCTCATTTCCTCGACTGTTCCGGTTGCTTCCAGGGAAAACTCCTTCAAAATCGCCTCCAGTTCCCGCTTCCGTAGATACGAAATCCAGCGTGCGCCCATATTGCTGTGAAATAATTAATCAACGGGCAAACGACAAGAAAAATTTCGAAAGGTCGAGAGAAATATTTCAGACGAGGGTCAAGCGACGTTTGCGTTGATTAAACTTCAGTGAAGTATTGGATTTTATTTGCCACACATAAAAAAATCGCTAACTGCCCACGTGTAACTAGGTTAAACCCGAATTCGATGTAAAACGGCGATGTAATTCTGTAGCTCTCCTCGACGGCGGTTAAATCTTGATTCGACGGCGATGTAAGCTTGTAAATGTTCACGACGATGATGAAAGTTTTATTCGACGATGATTTTTGGTTCCTGTTGAAAACTGCGACTGTACGCGTTGGCTCGACGACGGTTGAAAGACAAGAGACAACGATGGGATCCCGTTGACTGTACTCGATGGCTGCTGGTGTGAGGGAGACGACGATGAGAGTGAAGGGTGAAAACAAAATGGCTGCGCTGTGGGGAATTTGTGTTAGCTTTTCCCTGCCTCGTGCTTTCGAAATTCTCGCGACCTGACTTGGCTACCTAGAGGGCTTTTCGCTCTCGCTCTCCCTTTTTTTTTTTTTCCTCTTTGCTTTCTCTGCTCGGTTTTATTTCTTGGCTCACGTGTGTTTCTAGTCACGTGATCAAATAACCTCTCGTTTTAGGTTATGATCTTTTCACGGCTGGGGGTATAAAAATTTTCGCTGCGTGTGCCACGAGTTTCTAAGAGTGGGTATACTTTTTGGTTAAGTTCTCCCGATTTTTGCCATGTGCCTCTCGAAAAATTCAAAGTTTTCTCGATTGTGAGGTTATATAGAATGCCCGGTATATATTCTTATCGATATATATATATATTCACGTAGTTTTCTGCCCTAGAAATTTTGGTGTCCCTCGACATCCGACTCTCCATACGTTTCGACTTAGAAAATTTTCTCTAAGTGGCGGAACCGAAAATTTTTCAAACTTGACGTATCCGAATGGGTCTTTAGGCCATATTTTCGACGTCTAAAGTTCGTAAACCCCATGTCCCTGCTCGGGCGCCATTCTGTAAGGAAGTTCGACGGCTGGGGTAAGCCTCAGTCACGTCCAAGGTCCTCTTTAACAGAAAAATTTGTAAAGATGTGGGACAAAGTGTTTTGACGGACGGCAAACTGACATGAGATGGTAATGGTCAGTTACCGGGATACGCAGCCAGAAAAATGGCTGATTCGGTCTCTGCAATAGAGCGAAATATTCGTCGGAGCGCGTTTTGGGTCGGGCCCATAGCAATCGCTAGAAGGAGACCGAAAGAGGGGTCGATTTTGGGGACCACCGTTTCCTAGGGCAGGGTTTATGGCCTAAGATCTAGGCATTTTGGGCAAATATTCTACGTAATTCATGGCCAGCGTGACCGGGGGTCGTTCCCTCGCGAGCTGGACTCGATCTGAGCCGAAGATTTTATTTACGAGAGCTTTTCTTGAATTTATTTAAATTTTCCTCATGTTAAATTTCTCTGCATGTTATTTTCCAGTGTGGGCAGCGTACGGCCTCTCGAAAGTGGCGGTCAGTGATTAGATTTTCCGCGAGAGCAAAAATATATTTAAA